TAATTACAGATATTGAGAGCAAGCATTTAATCCTTTATAATAATTTGATATTGCCACAATATCCAAATGCACGATTGGCAGACTCATCTCACTGAACAGTGTATAAACCAAAAATACTAATTCATGACAGGTGGAAGTAAAACAAAAGGTTCTTCACTAGGGATTATTTGATGTTAAAATTAACTTCCTCAGTAAATGTACTTAAGTTTAGTGCTTCTTTAGATTAAATAAAAGGCTCTGGATTCAGAGAAAAGAGGAGAGTTAGAGGAAAGCAAGTGGGTTTGAAACGTTAACGTATTCCTGCATCCATCCCATCCGTCTTCCCCAGAAGCCCAAGCTTTGCCGTAAATGGAGGGCGGGAATGGGAAGGGAGAGCCGCCAGCAGGAGAACAAGAGGTATCTTTGATAGACTGGGAAGCTGGAAGTGGAAGGGATCCATTCCCCTGTTCTAAGTAGAGCCTGGGAAGCAGCAAAATCAGCTGGAGCAGAGACAGCCCAGACAGTTCCTGGGCACCCCAGGATGGGGGTGGGGGCAGCAGGATAATGTGATGTGTGTCCAGAAAGAGCCCAAAGGCAGTGAAGAACCTTGTACAGTCCCACTATATAGGTACAAGGGTGATCTAATGTTCTCATGTGCCCAAGTGGGGTCCAGAAGGAGCTGAGAGACAGACTTCAGAGTGCGCAGCTGAGAACAAGCAGCACCACCACAGCTACATGTGTGGACCAACATCTGAGGATTAAACAAGACAAAGTACATCACAGCAAATGCCACTGTGGACACACAAGGACCACATGCTTTCCCTTCCTGGAAGCCTTGATGCTATTGGATAGCCCCTCTCCTCCAACTGAGATGGCAAACCTCGCAGAGGGGGAACACTCTCAAAATGACCAAGAGTAAATTTCAATCACCAGGTAGGATATTGATTTACGACGAAAATTCAATGTAATTATTTAAAAAAGCAGGAAAACAATTGAAACGCCTGACTTCTTGCAAACCTGGGTCTATGAGCTGAGATTCATGTCTGCTTTTGCTTTAACCAGAATGACAGGTTTTACCTCGTTTCTGATTTTAATGAGAATACATCTGGTATTTTACTACATAGTATTTGCTATTGATTCTTTATATTCTTTTTGATGCTAAGGTCTATCTATTCAAAGTTGGCCAGAATTTTAATTTCTTTTGTTAATAAATCAGGAACCGATGTTAAATTTTATCTAATGCTTTTTTGGCTTCTATCAAGAGAGTTATATGATTTTTCTCCTTTAACCTATTAAGATACTGAAGTACACAACTGATTTTCTTTTTTTTTCTTTCTTTCTTTCTTTTTTTTTTTGAGGGGGGAGGTAATTAGGTTTATTCATTTATTTATTTTTAGAGGAGGTACTGGGGATTGAACCCAGAACCTTGTGTGTGCTAAGCACGTGCTCTACTACTTGAGCTATACCTTTCCCCCTACAACTGATTTTCTTAACATACCTTCGACTTTGCTTATTTGTTTGAATCCACAGCTGGCCGTGATCTTATAATTTACTTACAATTTTAAAATCAATATTCATAAGCAAGATTGATGAATTTGTGATAGGTACAGAAAATCATGCCAACAAATAAAACAAGGATTGTTAACTCCAGGAAAAATTGAAAGCTGTGTTGGAAGAGAGAAGTCAGTCATAGTATCTGTCCCGGCTGAGCTGTGAAGGTTTATATATTCTTAGTAATGTCAACAATGAATATCGATTCAGCCAAAGTGACACAACTACGTGGAGGAAATGGGAGGCCTGGAAGGTCATTCCTCCCAGTGGGGTGAGTCATCTCAACTCTGCCAGGCCACAGACTCTCCTAGGCTGTGTTGGTGATTCCACTGATGCCATCTTTTCAGTTGTAGGGACACAGTGGTCCTGTGAGTGACCTCAGAGCAAACCTGATAGGTATCAATCCTAGAGAAAAACCTTTTGAAGGATTAGCATCTTAGCCAAGAACCTTTATCCCCTAGCCTGGAACATTTTCTAGTTGAATCTTCTCAAGTTAGTGACAGGAATGAAAGATTGGAGGCATCAGAGACCCACAGGGACAGGGAGGAAAGCCAGCACCCTCAGGGTTCAGGGTCAGTTCCTGAGCCACTCTCTCTGTCTCCCACAGAAACCAAGAGAAAACATCCTGCCTCTCACTGGGCCATAAAGTACACATTGTCCCTTCCCCCGGCCTTCAGAGCACCAAGGCGTGCTTCCACTTCCGCCACAGACCTTCCCCACCTGTAGGACTTCTCACTACTCACACACGCACAAAAAAAGAATCTTCACAAAGCTTCCTTCAATATTTCTGTACCACTGGTATGAAGCGTCAAGACCTTGGGGATTACCGTTTTAGCTGGAGAATAATGGTGGGTGGAGAAGGAGGGGCCAGACTTCTGGGTGCTCCCCACCCCTGGCCACCCGCACTACCAGAGGAGGTCCAGTCCTAAAGTGAGGAAATGGACTGGGAGGCACGAGGCACCCCAGATCAGTGCTGCTCCAACACTGACAGGCAATGGAGCCCCTGGGGGTCTAGTTAAGACGCAGGTTCTGATTTAGCAGTCTGAGCAGGCCCAAGATTCTGTGCACCCAACAAGCTCCAGGAGGATGCTGATGCTGCTGGTCCACAGTCACCCTTGAATGTCCAAGGGTAAGGCTGAGAAGGGAAGTGCAGGGAGGGAGAGGTGAAAACAGGGACCAAGCTCCAGGGAGAGGCAGTCTGAGGGTGCTCCAGCTGTATCGTCCCATCTTCCTGTGTCATCCACCGCCTTCCCTGCGGGGCCTTCCCTGCAGGGGTCTCTGGTGGCCCACGTGTTGGCTACAGTGGGGGGCTTTGGTCCTCTTCCTTTCCATCTTGTTCCAGAGTAGGACTGAAGCAGCTGCGAGCTGGAGGAGGGCCAGGGGCTGGAGGCCTCCTCACCCCGTCCCACAGGCAGCGGTCAGGGAAGGGAGCTGGGCCTGGGCGAGGCCGCCTGCTGTGCTGCCTCCGGCCCAGGCTCTGGGGTCGTCCCTTCAGGGAACTGCAAGTTCTTCAGGCTGGCCCCAGGGATCCAACATGGGCCCTCATCCCTCCTCTATAGCCTCGCCCCAGGCAAGACGCCCTGAAGCCAAAACAGTGAGCTTCTTCATTCTCTCAAACAGCAGCTTCCCTTCCTGGAAGCCAGGCTCTACACAAAGCACCCTCTCAGATTGTTTCATTTAATCCTCACAATTACCCTTCGGGGTAGGAAGTGGTTATCTTCACTTTAGGAGGTAAGGAAACTGGGGCTTCAGAGGTAAGTTGCACAATACCTTACAGCAAGGAAGACTGCGTGTGCCCTTTCCACCCGGGCACTAAACCCTGAGTGGACTTCACACTGTGAGACCACAAGCCAGTGGGACCGTATTTAGGAGAGGCCTCTGGATAGGAAATTAGATGGCAGGGCAAGGCGACTAAGGTGAGCTGATATGGCTTATGATCCTTTGGTCAGCAGAAACTCAAGGCTGTGCTCATCCCATACCAGCTTCCCTCACCGCACCAGTAACAGGAGGCGCTTCTGTGCCAGCCGGCAGGGACACGCGCGACCCTGGAGGAAGGGACTTGCAGGTGGCTGTGAACTGGGCTCATTAGCCCGAGCAGAGGGTGCCGGGCAGAGACCTGACTCACAGATAGCACCAAAAGAGGAGCTGTCCAAAGAGCAGCTGGCACAGGGTCATTTAGGAAAGTCTGAATCAAATGGTACCAGCCTCAAAGGAACATCCTGACCCGGGACAGAAATGCACTCTTGACTTTGGTTCTTCATTCAATAAACCTAATGCCCACCAGCACTGTGCTAGAATTTGTGGGACACATTCTTTGCCCTTTATGAAGAAAACTAGCAGATTTGGTACAAAAGTAACCAACCAGTGGCGGGAACTACAGTGAACTGGTGAATTCTGCTCAAAGCTGCTGCAACACTATTTTGCTCAAGTTGATTGCGGTTACTCAGTAAGAAAAATCTATTCATTCTTTTTTTTTTAAAAGCCCCAAATCCAGATCATGTAAACTTTTCCATTTTTAAAACAAAATTCTGGCCAACACCTGTGGCCACTAGTTGGCAACCTCTGCTCCTCATTGACTAAACCCTCTTTTTCTACTCTACCCTCAGCACCTGACAATTGACAGAAAGGAAGTAATCAACATGCACCTGGCACAATGACCAGGTGAAGCTTATCTGGAGGGAACCGGCCTGAAACTGCCATTATATGTGGAGCAGCTGATGCAACTGGGGAGGATGCTGGAAATGACTAATGAGAGCCAATCCTTGTTGCAAATAAGGGAAGCCTCATACAGCTAGGGCACATGGTTTGGCCAACACTTTAAAAGGGATGAAGAGGCTGCTTTTAGGTAAAATACACATTCGACAATTGACCTCAATAATCCTGTCCATCTCTCTGCCCTCCATTTCTTTACATGTCCAGCCCCTAAAGGCATTTGACTTTCACACTTGGCAAGGGAAATTCAGGATTGGCCTAAACATAAGTCCCAAATAACCTATAACCTAAGAATCCTACCCAACTCAAGATTTTTCCAAGGATTAAAATGAAATAGAGTATGTAATAAAAGCGCTTGGCACAACATCTGGCAAAGGGTCCCAGGAACATTCACTGTTGTTATGGAGGTTAGATGTTTTCTGTAAAGCACCAGAACACACAGTTGCCGTCAGAGCATAGTTACAAGGAGTCTGATTCTGACTTAATAAACAATACTTACACAAAAGGGTAGCAATCCCAACTAGAATGAGATTATGTTCCAATAGAAGAGCAAGGGCCATTCCCCAGGGAACACCCAAGAGGCAGTTCCTGCTCCAGGAGCCTGACTTTCATAGTCTCTGTTCGTAGGACCTTGTAACTACAGGCACAACTATCCGTGGAAAACTGCTCACGTGATGTATGTTAAAGAGAATGTGGCTGATCCCCATGGATATGGTAAAGATGCATAGAACAAGTGGGAAAAAAATTACAAAACTGTATCATGGGAGTCTGAGGTTTCTTTTTCTTTTTCTTTTTTTTAAGGATATAGACATGTGCTTAGAACACTTCTAGAAGGGTACACGAGAAACTTAGACAAGGTTGGGGACCGGGCCTTTTACTCCCCTCTACCACTGCATTTGGATTTCTCCCCCCTTACTGGTAGCCTCATTACCCTTATAAAAAGGATCAAATATTTGGTTTGGCCAAAACTTTCTGGTCTGAGCTTTGCAACACTGCCCAGGATAAAGCGTTATGTATTTCCTCATATTTTCACTGCCAAAACCTAAGAACTTTAATTAGAAGACTGGACTCCCTGCCTACCTTTCCATTGTAAAATGCACCTCATCTTGGAGGCTGCTTCAGGTGCCCCCTCTCTGTCTCTCATTGCCTGAGTCCTAGCCTAGTTTTTTCCCCATATGTTCTCACTCCATAGGTGATCTCATCCAGTTCCATGGCTCTTAGATATTGGCCCAACACTGACTCCCAAATTTCTAACTATAGCCTTGACTCCGTTTCTGAACTCCAAAACTGCACACTTCAATTGCCGACTCAACATCTCCACTTGGCCAGCAAGTAGACATCCAAAATTTAACATATCCAAAGCTGAGCTCATCTTCCCCTATAACCTAGCTCTACCCACGGCCCTCCAAATCTCAGCTGATGGCACTTCCAGACTTCTAGTCGGTCAAGTCCGTAACTTCAGAGTAAAAGAATGACTGGAAAGCAGTCTGGCACACAATGCCAGTTATCTAAAAACAAAGGAAGCCCTGGGTATTAGGATCAAAGATATCATATAATCATTAAACTGTTTTCTGAAATATGTTTAAAGTTAACTTTTAAGTCTAGCATTTAGATTTTGACATTTTAATTTCCTTTGAATATAAATCACTTTTTGCAAGCTAGGGAACAAAATCAAACTAAAGCAGTCTAGTCCTCTAGAGATCTGGGCCAATTCTTACGGCCTTCAACAGAATGGCATCATAACACAAGGTGCTAACAATGGGTTTATAAACTCTAATAACTGCTTATCTACATTTTTCCTTAGGAAACAGCCAAAAGTCCAGTCCTTAAAGGCATGATCTACAGAACATCTTCATCTACAAAGGACAGAATGATCCAAATTATATGCGGGCCAACCTATCACTTTACCAGATCAGAGCTGGCCAAGGATTTGTGAACAGAGGAAGTGTTTACATTTTGAAAACTTGCTCTGAGGGTTGAAAAAACTTCCTGGTTGCTGTTAAGAAGCAAGTAAAAAACATTACAGATGCACTCACACTGATATTGATCTTGCCAAGGTCTTCCACTAGAACACAAAGTGAGAGGCGAGTATGGGGATAAGACACTTAGAGACTTTCAAAATAAATTACTTACTAATAAGAAACCTGACATACTGCATTCTTCCATTTGCCACAAGAACATATTGGCAATGAGGACTAGTTAAAAGAAATGCTCAGCTCTAAAAAGGGTGGTGGCAGCAACACTTTCCACTAGAGGAAAACCTCCCACTTTTCCATACAATTCACACTGCTACTCTTCCATGATACACAGTCATGTGGGAAAACTTGTCAGGGGTTTTTGCCAGGGCCAAGAGATGAAAAAGGGAGACTGTCCTAATGAGCTGGTTGTCAGCTCAGTTAACATCTTTAGGATGGACCCATATAATCTGGCCACGGTTTTGTTAAACATCTGCAATTGCAGAGCTCTTCAGCCCATAGCCATAGTTTCTGCTCAGTGTCTTAAAGCTGGGCTCGGTCCCATCTGTGACTCTTCTCGTCAGGACTGAGGTGGGTGCTAGTCATCAAAGTCTGGAATGTCATCGTAGGAGTAACCCCGGTAGCCTTTGGATGCATAGTAGGCGATGCGCAGGTGGTAAAATCCTGGCAGGAACACCAGGATGCCAATGATCAGGACAGGAACGGCTCGGTCTGCCCCCTGGTGGCAGAAGGAGGAAAGCCCATCAGTTCCATGCAAGTTACACATTTTAGAATAAAATAAAGCAAGGGTCCAATCCAAAGATCAGTTATTTTACACTTTTCAGAGCATTTTCTTTGGGTGGTACACTACCAAGGGGAAAGGTTTATGTCTCTTTTCCTCCTTATCAATTGCAGAAAAACTGCAAAGTACAAAAAATTAGAGAAATTACCCATGTTCATCCATAGATATTTTGGCTTATTTCCTTCCACTCCTTTGAAGTTTTTAGTTGTGAATACACCATACTCTGTTTCTGAGACAAAAATTTGGGACAAATTTGGCAATTACAACAAACAATTGCCAAAATACTACTAAAAGCTCTTAACTGGGGGGACAAAGGGAGGTAGGTGAAATGGGTGAAAAGGTGGTCAAAAGGTACAAACTTCCACGTATAAAATAACTAAGTCCTA